GAAAAGCAGCCCACCTTTACTCTAAAAGAAATAAGCCTCACATCAAATAAAATTCGAGCCATTTCTTCATAAATATTAAAGTGCACGCTTGGGCAGCTATATGAGCACCAAGTACACAAACTCCATTAAAGCAGATCAGGTCTCACACAAGAGTAGATTCATAGGGAAACTATGGGCCAGATCTATTCATTTAGTATTTCCAGTGGTACTTCAACCTGCCCTCAAAATTCCTGCCTTAAAAAACGGAAATTTCCACCTAACTAGCATTTTAGCCATTGCTACTCCGGTCACTCGGCAAAGAAAGCCGCGTTTCGGAATCCTCTGAAATAGCAAGCAGTTTAACAGGTGCGTCGCACATCTGGACAGGAGCAGGAAGCCTGTGAGGAAACGCCGGGGATGGAAACAAGTCTCTTCTTGGCGAGTCCAAGTCAAGTCTCGAGTCAGAACATCAAGTCTTGAGTCATATGCTCTCAAGTCCAAGTCAAGTCTAAGTCTTTCCATCATTTTAGCTGTCAGGTAAGCAGGAAGGAATCCGTAAGGAAATGCCAGGGATGGGAACAAGTCATTCCTTGGCAAGCATTGATTCAAGTCTTGAGTCAAAACATTTCCATTCAAGTCAAGTCTCGAGTCATTTGCTCTCAAGTCCAAGTTGAATCCTAGTCTTTCCATCAGTTTTGCTGAGTCAAGACACAAGTCATCAAATTTGTGATTTGAGCCCAAGTCCATTCGCGAATCAGGGACTTGAGACGTCGCCCCTTGGAAATGCATCATCAATGAGCGTGAGCGAGTCTGACATACCCCAAGCCGACTGGGGTTTCCCAGATGTCTGTGCACAGCACAGTATCTATACCTTGGCAGTAAACCTTGAAATGTCGGCAGCAAAAACGAAAAAGAAACAGAAAACATCTTCAGTCAATGCAATTCCAGGATGGGCTATGAAACTCAAACACAACTCCCATACCTAGAGATTGCCCTACCCTCATTAGCAAGTGGAGAAATCTGTTCCATGGCTATACAATTAGCTTGTGGCTAAACAATTACCTTATGCTAACATACAGTCAGCAAACAAAACTTCAAATTCACACTGTTACTTCCGAGGCCATACAATGTGACCACGTGACCATCTCTCCCCCACCCTGAGCTAGTCCTTCCCCCTTCACGACAACCTTCCAGTAACCTGAGAGTGTGAGAGCATAGATCCGCTGTTATTAATCAACCACCAGCATGGTTGAACTTTGGGCAACCCCGGGTAAGATATATTACAGCATACTTACGTTTTTTTTTTTTAAATTAATAAGCAAGAGTTTAAAACCCATTAGCACCATTCTTTTAACGAGTCATATGCGAGGAGTTCTGAGAGAGTAGGGTGGCCTTCCCCTAATGGAGGAAATCTAACTGCCCCCACACCCCCAGAAAATAATAATTAATCCTTTATTGTCCCTCATGGGGAAATTCTTTTTATGCCTCCCTCAATTTGCTCTTTGCAGAGTAAGTTGTCCATGAAGGGCAGCTGCCTGTTGGGGCGCCCAGGGAGCTGGGGGTTAAGGGCCTCGCTCAAGAACCCACAGACATGCTGAGGCTGGGTTTGAACCAGTGACCTTGCGATTATAGGCACACAGGCTTAGCCCACTGAGCCACATGCTGCCCCAAGGTGACGTATTCTGAACTACAGCCGGGTCTCACGTCGAGATATTTCAGGAATGCACATACCTGGAAAACACTGTCAAAATCGAAAGAGTCTAAATCAGACAAGTCTCAGTTTCTGGGTATTTACATCTGAAAGAAATGACGGTTCCCTTTCTGATTACGGGGTTAGCTTGAATGGCCACTTGTCAATGGCCATCGGAGAATCCCCCAAACGCTACAGGAAACCACAGCGGCTCGTTCCGCTTTTGGCGCGGCCCGAGATCGTTACCCCCGAGACTGTATAAACTGGGTGCTGGGGCCTTGCTGATTTACAGCGACTCTGAGCTGGAAACCTTGGGAGGACTGTGGCGAGGCCACCGCTGGTTTTGGGAGTGAGAGAGGGAGAGAGAGGGAGAGAGAGGGAGGGAGGGAGGGAGGGAGTGGGGAAACAGCTGTCTTTCAGGTTTGCGGACAGAATTCCTCTGCGGTAGCAAACCCTGGAAGGCTTAGCGAACAAACAGAGTGACGTGTTGTAAAATAAATTAGGGGTGAAAACAATGTCCAAAATGACAGTAGGTAAACATAGAGACTTGCCCGTTTATTGCCTCCGGGCGGTTGTATTTTTAGCTTTGATTAGTGCCACAATGGCTGGATGATGATGGTTAAAATGCATGATATCGCACACTGTCACGAATTGGCAATGGAGACTACTATCTTGTTCTTGCTGCAAAAAAACATGGAGGAGTCCAGTCTTTTCCCACACAGAGGTCGTAATTCATCAGCCCCAGTACAGCCCACATAAATAAAGGTCTTTTCCCCATATTTTGTATTTATCCATATGTTAAGACCCCACTCCCGCTACCTTCAATCCATGTTCTATATGTGCTTCTAAATTTGCCTCTGTCTCTCTTTTGTTTGTCATTCTTTTCTTTTTCCCTTTTTCATGCCCACATACACACACGCGCAAACACGGGAACAGACACTCGGAGACAACACTCGACACAAACATGCCACATGACTGTTACTCAGACCTGCACAGCTGCACCGACACCTAGATAAATACAGTCAACAGAGTAGTTAAAAATAAATCAGCAACACGGAATGCTCCCAGAGACGACCAATCCTGCACAGCCAATGAATTGTTCAGCCTTGGATTTGGTGCTAATTATGAAGGATTTATTGGAGGGAAAACTGCAAAACAGCTTTTAAAACGGTGCATTTAGATACCAAGGTTCAGCTTAAAAACCCTTGTCATTAAGATGTAAAGAAGTATTACATCAATAATATATATTTACAAAGCTGAATTCCTGAAAATAACTGCAGAAAACCAAGCCTAATCCTCAAATATGAAATTGCAGTAACTATTAAAGTATTAAATTGAGTCAAAAAATATTGTCAATCAGGTAATACTGTATTGTGCCTCAATTGGACTTGGACTCGAGAGCAAAGGCAATTCTATATATAGCAAACCATTATACTTGATGTAAATGTATGTTAACGAGTTGTGAAATATATTTTGTTTTTTGTACACCAAAGGCAGCTATAAAATCCAATATTATGGCTTGTCTGGACTCGTATTTCTTATAGTAATATAAGGAGAGCAGTTAGAGTGGAATAAAACACCCTTTTATGATAAATCATTAAATATTTTTCTGCTGGTTCCATAAACGCTTTAAATACCTGACTATAAGGAAGGTCCCATCTGTACACCGCCACAGCTTAACGTTGAGACCGGCACATAATTTCATAAATGCGGCTTTCATAGCAACCGAATTAGTTTCCTCGTTTATTTTTATCGCTGCAGTCTATTTTTGCACCACCTCGTGTTCTGGGCCAAACTGAATCGGCAAAGCGTAATTAGGGGCTTGGAACAGAGGGGGAAAAAAGAAAATAATTTAAGGCCGTTCTATGGCTTGACAGGGAGAAAGGGGAAGTCCCTAATCATCGAAATAATACGGGGCTGGACCCATATTCATAATCGTTTTGGAAATAAGTTGTGTAGACCTTACATTCCCATCTGTTGCTTTTCAGTTTGAGACTATAGATGGCCCCGCAAGGTCAATATGCGATTACAACGTGTTTTCCTGCGTTCTTTCTTCCTGTTGCACAGCCCAGACTCAAAGCAGCTCGAGTAGCCCTCTTGTTAGCTTTTGCTTCGCAGTGCAAAGCGCCCCCATTAGCCCGGGCGGCCAAGCAGGAGCGGCGCGCCGCCGAGGCGCAGACTGTCCGGCACCGCGCTTCACAGCCGCTGATAGCGCGCGTGTGCCAGACGGGCGGCTGGGCGACGGCTTCGGAAGACATGGATTTATTATTGAAACTACGGGACCGCAGTAACAGCTAGAGCACTGCACATCATTTTAAACAATGGTTTTCTACTACAAGTAATACAATTAATAGCACTTGGGCACTTAATGACTACTTATTACTACGGAATTCCGGGCAATACTTTGTGGATCTTCTCAGCTTAAGTCTGTAGCAATAAATCAAATATTTACTCAATGAAATATCCTATATGATCATGTCTATCACCAAATAGACATATAGGTGTCATTCACGGTAAATATTAGCATTTCAAAACCATAACCACATACTAAAAGGGTGTAATGCAGGGTGAAACAGTACAAACTGACTATGCTTTCCAGGGAAACCATTGTTTAAAACCATCAGAAAACTCTTATCTTTTCAAGAGACATCCCGACGAAACCCATCACAAGCATGAACTACAAGATGTATAGTGTGTGCACAGCTATGGCAATCTATGTAAGTACTACTGATTGTTTAAGGAACTAAGACAAGTTGTTTCTAAATATAATGAACATGTGTGATTAAATTTATTACGGCATTTTAATCTTTTACTGAAATCACGGAGCTTAATTTCTTAATTATTGTGAAATATTCAGCAAGTCATACAGATATATGCAATAAATGAACACCATGTTTGCCTTACACGGTGTATTAAGAATTATATTTCTGTTGAGAAATCCGAATATTGAACTTCATAAGGTTTGTTAACTGAATCTCTCCGGCCAATGACTTCGGTAGGAATGAGCATATTATAATCAACAGACGTCACAGATGCAACAGGGGGATCCAGAGCAGCACAGAATTACTATCATGGAAAAGCCGACCGCTTAGCTTAATTCTTAATAATTAAAACTTTGGTGGTTTAATTTAGTATTCAGCATAATTGAGTTGAGTATCAACGCCAACAGTTTTTTTGTGCTTATATGATTCGCATTATTCGTCATTTTATATATTTCCAAATTCACTACATACGATTTCAAAGTTTTTCATATTATAGACAAAACTCAGTTAATAATGATCGCACCAGTTGCCCATCCATGCGCGACAGTTTTCTGGCGGGCGTCACTCACCCACTTTAAAGCCGTTTCCCGTGAGAGTGTCGGCGGACTGGCCGTTCTCGCCGATCAGCGTGGTGTTGTTGCCCTGCTCGCAGGTGTCTTGACATTGCCCCTTGAGACAAGTCCTCTTACAGATAAGAGGAGCGATTACCACCCTGAAGCGCTCCCGGGTCGAGATGCGCTCGGCGCCCAGGGCCAATCTCTGGACACCCAGCCAGATAATGAGCAGTTTGGAAATGACTAAGGAAGGCATGCTGGCATCCTTATATGCGGAGCGACGAGGGTGAGAGCAAGGGGTCGGGGCCAGGGGATAAAGTGCCAACAAGGGATCTGTCCGGATCCGAGGATCAAAGTCCTTTTTTTCCTGATTTCTCTTTCCCCGGCACTTCCCAGCTGGAAACAGCAGATGATACCTTAAAGTGAAAAAACAAACGTGGAGGCAAACCTCTCCAGCTCTCCTCCTGCTCTTCTTTCTTTTTTTGACAAAAGAACTAATATACGTGTGTCCACATAACCGATCCCAGCAGTTCAGAGAGGACCGACATGACACAAGTTATTTTCTGCCTGAGAAGAAACAGAAGGAGTCGTTGCTGGTGTGAAGTCTGATAGCGAAATAAAAAGTTTCTTCCGGCGCCTCTCGTCTTTTCACTCGTCCCCGCTGCCCGCTGTTGCCTTGATGGTCGGTGTGCGCGTATCTGAGCTTTTGGAAAAGAAGGGAGGAGAGAAAGAGAAGGAGCCAATCCGACCGAGAGTGCGGAGCTGGCGGCCGGCCAGGCAGCACAGAAGCAGAAGTTTGTTGTTACCCATTCCCTCCCGCTTCCCCCCACCCCCTTCCCCTCTCTGCCTCTTCTTATTCCCCAAAAGTAAGGACAAGCACCGTTAATGGTAATGTTCTCGGTCCGGGGGGCTGCTCGGACCCCCCATCTGCACTTTGAGGGGACGGTTATACCTGGAGAGTCACAGCTTTCATGGCAAATTTCCAAAACGGAATCGCAGCGCTTAGTTCGGATCCAGGGGATTTGTTCAGCAGAACCTGATATCTGTACACAATGAATGGGTTTAGTTTGAAAAGCAATACATCTGTATTATACATCTGCAGTTTTCGTCTGCCAGGTGCCGACGGAAACTTGCACGGAGCTATGATTGAAGACTGTTCTTGCATACCATAATAACTAACATATAATATTACGCACAGATCTGTATGTTGAGTTCTCGGAGGGAGATACTACCTGTCACCGTGCCAAATGTACACCAAAATCCTGGATGCCTGCCCGTTTCACTCGGATATTGACGTTTCATGTAGAATTGTTAATTTCCTATTTCACCATTTCCCTCAGTTTAACATTCATTAAAGTAATTAACGGGGATGTCTGTATATGATACATAATTAACTTATGCATATTTTCCAAAAAACACACAAAAAAAAATCCCCGACCGTGTGCTGGCTGTCAGAGTTTGTTTTCAAGTCAAATAGCTCGGCTGAGGTCAGGAATACAATCCCGGGTCACCGAATTGGCCGGCGGGAGAAGTGGAAAGTGAGGGGGGGTACTGAGTCACATCCTGCGCGAAAGTGAGTCGGTTCGCTCTCGGTTGCTACGGAAATGAGCGGAGTGATCTGGTGAGGCATCCCAGGAGGCGCTGAGGTGCACACACACACACACACAGACCTATACTCATATCTTTATGGGGGCGGTCCATCTATTTCTATGGGGAAAACTATGACAACCTTAACCCCTATCCAGCCCTAACCTTAACCATAAGTAACCAAACAAAATGCAAGAGTTTTGGTATTTTTAAGTTTTTTGATTGCATTCACAAATTTTTATAAAATTGAGGTTGTCCAAATGAGGACCTGAAAAGGACGTTTCGGGTTTTACCATATTTTGAGGACATTTTGGTCCCCAAATGTGATCTATGCAAACCCACACACACACCTCATAAACTCCACCTTGCTGCTCCTATCTGTACAGTTTTTTACCTATAATATCCCAGAATGTTTTACTTAAAAAAAACCCCAAAACATCCGATTCAATGAACAATTGAGAAGGCAGGGTCTGATAGTCAGTTAGGGTTAAGGACCCTTACTCACAGGCCAAATGATGAAATTACTCTGCTGATCCTGGAATTTGAACTGGCAACCTTCTGAGCACAGACATTACGTCCTAATCCACTAAACAGCCCCTGCTGAGATTTTATGGAAGTAAGAAAAATAGCCCTGTGTGCTCCAGTCCTTAGTAAATATATCTGTCTCCCTGTGGCCTTGTCTGTAAACAGCACAGCCTGAAATGCTCATAGCATCTTTCAAATCTCAGGAAGACACTAAACTCTGCTGCAATTGTGCCTGTGGATGGACCACACCATCTCCATCGAAGGGGTGGTCTGCAGACTAGCCAACAGTTTATGGGATTTAGGCCGGAATCTGTGGGAAAGTATGCGGTCAGTGTTAGCACGCAACTTTAGCAAGGAGAGGGCTATATAGTAAAAGGGAGAAAATCACCCATCGGCAATGCGGACCTGTCACTCACAAAGACAAGTCTTCAATTTAACAATCACCAGAGCGCATTCCTATGGTTACGTAGGTCTCCAATTAGCAAAGCGCTATTTTTTAGTCCTTATCCGGTTTGCTAGTGACATGGTAACATACCGGGTACGTCAATCAGTTTAATGTGTGACAGTTAAACTTTCCAGCGAAGCTTGTGAATCAGGACAGGAGACAGATGTTTGTGCTGTTCATCATCCAGACATCGACACCCCTGCGATGACATCATCGTATTCAGAGAGCAAACAAAAAGCAAGACATGGTAAGAACAATGATCCACCAGGATGTTATTATGTAAGTTCATATAAATACTATACAAATTATTCAGATAAAATAAGCCTAACGACGCCCCTGGTGGTAGTAATTTGTATTTAATGTCATTTGGTGTAATGGTCCATTTAATACAGCGGTATCTTATCTTTTTCTACAGTAGCAATTTTACAAAGAAAATATTCAGCAGGGGGAGCTACTGAGTCGTATTTTGCCGACAGAGCGGGGGGCGGGCAGAGATCGCGTTTTACAAACTAATTCATCTGGTAGTTAATTTTTAATGACTCTCTTTCAAGGGTGAAGGCTTTGTTTGTACCTACAGAGACCGAAATATCCGTTTTCAGATAAGTGCTAGTTTTCTGGGGTGTAACGCTGTTAAACAGTTAAGTGGTGAGGTGTTATTAGTCGGAATGACAATATAATTAGCTATTAAACTCACCAGGGTGTTTTGGTCACACCATCTATGAATAATTACATTTTGAGCCAAAACACTAGTTACATAAGTTTAATAAGGGAGATCGATCTTTAACACATTCCTATGACAAATAAGTTTACAATACACATATTGTTGTTTTTTTCAAATAAAGAAATATCCTTCGCATTTAAATGAAGGGAGAAGCTGTAAAAAGTGATGTTAATTGTCTTATTATATACGCTTACAGTTATTGCTGTTATTCTGAAGATTTACACGGTGACCACATTAATGGGTTTTTACTGAGAAGCTTGGCTTCTGGGCAAAAAATGATTAATTTGCATATTTTTTATTATGGCACAGTAATGAAGAATTTCATTAAAGAACAGCAGCAAAAGATCCAGAATAACACGCGTGGCCAGCATAATAGATAGACATACAGATCTTTCTGAGCAGGAGATGCTGTAACAAAGGGGTGACAGGCGTTTGATCTTTAGTGACTCTGCTGGCCAACATAACAGCGTTGCCGAGGAGACACCGAGTCTGACATCATCACTCGGAGCATTTACTATGAGACGCACACGGCCCAAGCAGACAACGACAGCCACGCTAAGGACATGGGCGACGACGTCCACAGAGCGTGAATGTCTATTTGGGTTTAGCGTCTGCGTGGTTTTCAAATAAATGTTTGTTTGCTGTTTTTTTTTCCCATAATCCCTTTCATACTATCTCAGGGAACACTCCTCCAGACAGCCAGTGACTCAGCGGGGGGAATTTCCCTGGTCTGTCTCCCTGGGTGGGACAGTGGCCTTACCACGCCATTACTCCAAACACCAGAGACGTCAGTCAGCATGTTATCCTATAAAGGATCATGGAATGGTGATTATTAATAGTAACTGACACCATGATGGGGCCACCTTCAGTCTTGGTGACCTCAGAGCGTGGTGGACGACTCTCTCCCCGTTCCTGCTATGAAACTGCTGGTGTTGGGCTGCACTCCACCATTAAGGCAGCAGACGGCTCCACCACTGATCATAGCTGTCTTGTTACTGCACTGGTTCTACGTTCCAGACCAGGCCAAAGACATTCTGTTAGGTCCAAAGACCCTGTCCTGGCCAGTAGAATATTTAAATGTTATTCTTTGGCCGTTTAATTCCCTTGACAAACATTTTATGGTTACAGTCTTATCACTCCATTGATGTGAAGAGGCTTTCAACTGGCAACAGTGAACATTGAACAACGCGTGTATCGGAAACAAACTAGATATGCATGAATTCTGCTCTGACATTTCGAAGGCGCAGTCTAACATCCTTGCTTTAATATTGTGGCAGTTAAATGTCTCTTTGTGGGCAAAAGCCCAAACTGTGGCATAGAACACGAGATCCAATAGATCAGGTCTGAATACCTGAATTGGATTGACAGCCAGGGTCCAGAGAGTAAAAGTCCAGACCAAGATTTTGTTTCAACCAACCAGTTGAATACTCTGTGACTTTGACTCTTTATGCTCAACTGGTTGGATGAAACAAAATCTTGGTCTGGATTTGTACTCTCTGGCTTGAACTACCTACCTCTGGCCGGGAATATTGGGTAATGAGTTTAAAGAATGAGAAAACAGCTTTATTCCAGCTCAAAAACCAAATTCAAAACTTAAAGTCTATAGCTTTAGTTCTTATTATGGTAAAGTATTGGAGAGACTGCAGTAATTATCTGATAGAAGGCTCAGTGGAGATGTTGCCCGAAACTTAACACATCCAAGCTTTATCCCAGAGGCTTAATCTATCTTAATGTTATTCCCGGCCTTGCACAAGTAGCTTCTGGGATAGGCGAGGAACCTCTGTGGCCCTCAATATGACACGCAGGTACAGAAAATGGATGGATGGATGGATGGATGGGTTCTCAAACTGAGAGTATGTTTGTTAAAACATCTGAACTAAACAAATTATTTAGGGCTCATTGGCCTTCAGGTCCAGTCCCAACCTCATCACGCGTCCTGGCCGTAGTACTTATGTCATTTATATTTGCGTAAACTAACCGTTTTTTTTTTTCTTTTTAACGCAATGGTACCTTTTTTATTGACAAAACGTGATATTTCCACCAGCAGCTGAATAAACATCATGTACCAGCAAGACGTTCATTTCCACTGTTCCGCCATACAGCAGTTTCCCAATCCGGGTTCTTGGGGACCCGCACACGGTCCATGTTTTTGCTCCCTCCCAGCTCCATAGAGGGAGCGAAAACGTGGGTTGTCTGCAGGTCGCTGAGGACCGCATTAGGAGACACTGCTGTGTGGCGTCCCAGAGCGCCGATGTTGGGGCGAACGACACGCCGGGTCACCAGTCGGCAGTAGAGGCAGCTGAAATGTCAGTGTGTCGCCGCGTTCGAACCACATGGGCGGATCCTGGCGAGCGGTTTTGCCCGGAGGGCGCTGAAGCAACACGTCGGTTCGCCGCGGCGCCCGCCATGAGGCAGTTGACCGCGCCACGTCACGTCGATTCCTGATTGGTGGCGGCTCGCCGAGCTCACAGCCCCCCCCCCACCCCTCGCTGCTCGAAGCACGATTCCCATCAACCCTCATCTCCAGAGCTACAGGCTCCGCCTCCCTCTCCATCCGTGATGTAAACATCGACCCCATGAGTCACATTGCTTTCGTAGTCTCCCTCCCCCCTTAAGAAAACATTTTCTTTTAAGCTGAGCCCTCCCCACTAAGACCACAGCCTAATCCCCTCCACACATACATCATTAAACATCCCTAAGAGATCTGTCTGTCTGTCTCGGGGGGTGTGTCCGCCGCCCAGTGTCGCGTCTGCGGGTCTGTCACCAGGGCGAGTGGCTTGTGGGGGGGTGGGGGGCGAGGCGGAGACTAGCGTCACCATACCACCAAACCAGCCTGCCCACTTTTACCAGGCCTTTTTAATAAGGCACATTATAATTGTTTTGTGATCCTTTTCTACGTTTTTGGTCCATTCACCTCCCTCTCTGTGGGGGGGGGGGAATGTACATTTAAAATAGTCTGGGTTTACGGCAAATGTGTGAAAAACCAGAAGTATTTTTAAAGGTAATAGCACAATTCATACAGTGCTCAAATAAAGTCTTGGGACGCTTGCATAATTCAGTAAAAAAAAAAAAAACATTGCAAATTTATTGGTTTTACAACAAAAATCATTACTATAATCATTTGTTCACAATATCACATTATACATATATCACATTAAAATAGAGTTTAAGTGAAACATTCAAGTAGTCATAATTTGAGACCCAAATTAAAGTTTTAAAAGAGATCTTCCGAGTTAAAAAGTTCATTGACGAGTAGACTCACTATATGCATTTTACTTAGTAACACCTTTGCAATAACATAAAACACCAAACATTTGTGGGAGCCAGTGACTACAGTTGCAATTAAACGCAAAATGGGGAGAACAGAACTGAATGAGTCAGTCGAAAAAATGATGACACTTAATAAACAAGAAAATGTCTCAGTAAGATATGTGCAGATTTGTTAAACGATGCTTGTCAATGGGCTTTTGTTTTGAAACCAATAAATTTGCAACATTTTTACAGACTTAAGCGAGCGTCCCAAGACTTCCTGTGAGCTCTGAATATATCTCACTACAGCCTGTATTTATAGGATAACAATACTGGTGTGATGTCTATGTTAACAATTACTTTTGGGAATTCCTTCAGAAGAGCCCTTCATCTCCCTCCATAATGGCTAATCCCCACGGTATGGAATAGATTGACTAATGCTAAAGGAAAGCAACTTTAATGCAATAACTGGCTGATGTTTTTGTTAAGTCTGGGAGGGGGAATCCCTAATGTATACACCATTCTACAACTTTAACAATAAGTGCATTTCAAAACTTAAATCTCCAAATAACGATATACATAAATAACTAATAAAATCACTGAATTTCAAAGGAGTGCTTTTGTTACGTTGAAATTCTTGGAGATTCCTCCAACACGAGAGAGGAGTCATTCCAGATGTTTCTCTCATGGGGTTTCCCGACGGTGGACTGTGCTGCCAAATGACTCCCTCTCCATCTTCCTGACCCTTCTGTTGCAGGAATACCTCCAGCAGCGTGATGCTACTCCATGTTCCACGATTGTACTTGATGTTGTGTTCCCTGCTAATTTGAATAATTGTCTTATTAGGTTTCTGTTTTGTTGGAATAGAGGGTCGATGGCACGGGGGGGGGTGGGTATCCGAGGACTGGTGTGCCCCCCCAAACGGTACCTACCGAACGCACCTTTTATTTGAATTTTATTTTTTAAATAAAATGAAAAAATTTGGCATCTCTCAGGGGTGTGGCTACAGATTGTCTGTCTACCCAAAGCTCCCCCCACCATCAGATTTCTTCAGTCACAGACACCATTTGAAGATGTTGTGTGGTTCCTGCTCCAGTGCTGCCTACACTTGTACCTGGGCGTTTATTGTAAGGTCAGCAGACATGTTTGCGATGTGCCAGTTGCCACACTTGCATGTCACTTTGCGCAATAGCATCTGCTAAATTAAGTATGTCATAATCTTTCAAGTCCAACAATTGACCATTTCAAACTTCAGAACAAGTTCACAAGAAATAGCTCATCTTGCTTTTCTAACCAGAGACAGAAGACAGATGCATTACTGTACAGTCATTATTCCCTTAACGAAACGGACACCTGCCATCTGCTAAATGTCAGCTATCAAGCTATCGACATACTTATAAAAGGCATTATTTTTTAATTACACTTAACACAAAACACGTTTTCATTTTTATTTCGGACTGAATTCGCCCCAAATGATATCCAAAGATATAAAACAGAATGATTCACATAAAGGCAGGCTGCAATGCTTCAGTAAAGAGTATATCCAGGAGAACATCCAGACTGACAGGAAAAGAAAAAAAAAAGTCGTCGTCCTGCATTGGTCTGTGTCCTCGGCGGCTTACAGACGGACTTACGGGCTAAACCAACATCATCACTGAAATCACTGCGGGGGTGGAAACAGAGAAGGAAACATGGCAAGTACAGCAGAGCAGAAACGCACCCCCCTTTATTTGGAACTAGGCAGGCCTATGAAATACGAAACGGCAAAACAGTTAAAGGTCCCCCTATTCCTGGTGACATACAAATGAGGCCTTTTTTAATTTGTATGTTACATAGTATATAAAACAATAGCTTATGAAGGATGACAAGATAATAATAATAATAATAATAATAATAATAAAAATAATAATAATAAAGTAATAATTAAACCTTCCTCGTCGACACAAAAGCTAAAACAATGCGTATAAAATGTCACGAGCAGCGGATTTTCTGAATTCACTTTTACACTGTAGATCGGGACGGCGGTTAGGCCAAGAAAAGCGACCATGTAAAGGTGCAGATACTGGTCTCTATCAGTCTCTGGTCCTTCGGCGATACAGTAAAGGGTGTAAGTTCCACAAAGGAAGCCAACGCCAGGACACAGCTGGATAAACAAGCCTCGAAATCAGTTCCTGTTGGGTGAAATGATGCCGCCATTCTTCTCAACTAAGCCCTTTAGAAAGAATCATTTTAGGCTGTCTGAGATGCCAACTGAATTAATGGCACAATGCGAATCATATTAAACCAAACACAATAGCTGATGATTAATCCTCAATCGTCTTAAGCTGACATACAGTAGGGCTATAGTTATGAAATGAGTCTCATTATTCTATTAATCCATACCTATTTTTATCCATTGGACAATTAAGCCGCAAGTAAATTAATGAGTAATATAATTACATAGGCTGTAAATTGAGTGATGTAATTAAAATGCAATGCTGCCATATTGTGTCCCGCAGAGTCAAATCAACAGACTTGTAAGCATTATTAATTCTGGTGTAACGTCTGGAGAAAAAGCAACACGGCCACAAAAAAAAGACTATATCGGGTTTAACATAAACTCGCTCAGCTGATCAGCCAAGGGCTTGGCGGAAATTAACACCGGCAACACCCCCCTGAACCACCACCCCCCCCACGACGTCCCGCAAAGACCTGAAGTTTAAGACCCCAGATTTGGGGGGATAGATCATGAAAATAAATGGGATCTACTTTCTGTCCCCCCCCACCCACAGAGACCCAAGCCTTCATCGTTCCTCGACGCAGTTTAACGCGGCCCCCTCCTCCCCGTCCTCCCCCCACATCCCGAACGCCATCTGCGGCGACAGCGTGGTGGCCTGCAGACAGCCGAAGTCGTCCGCGGCGCCAGGGCCGGTCCCCGGACCGGGCTGGGAGGCGCCGGGCTCGTCCCTGTGTGTGCGCAGGTGCTTGCGCAGCGCCGCCGGCTCGGTGAAGCTCTTGTGGCAGTGGTGGCAGCGGCAGGGCCGCTCGCCGGTGTGGATGCGCTGGTGGTGTTTGAGGTGCTGCAGGCGGCTGAGGCGCTTGCCGCACACGCTGCACGGGTAGGGCTTCTCGCCGGTGTGCGTGCGCCGGTGCTTCCGCAGCCCATCCAGATGCCGAAAGCTGGTGCCGCATTCGGAGCAGGAGTAGGGCTTCTCGCCCGTATGGATGCGCTGGTGCGTCTTGAGGGCGCCCGACTCGCGGAAGCGCCGGCCGCACACTCCGCACGGATACGGCTTCTCGCCCGTGTGGATGCGGATGTGCTTCTTCAGGCTGGAGATCAGCCGGAATGTTTTGCCGCACTCCAGACAGAGGTGAGGCCGCTCGCTAAGCTGCGCCGACCCAGCCGCCCCCTGGGTGGCGCCCTTCCCCTGGCCGGGTTCCATAGACAGTCGACGCCCCTCCGGGTGAAGCGAATGGGGTGCGGGGTGCACCTCGTCCACCACGTGGATGCGTCCCAGCTCGCCTACGTTGCGGGCGCTCTGCTCACTCTCTGGCGCCCCCATGAGGCCATCTCCCGCACCTGGTCGGCTCTGATGCACAGGCCCGTGGTCTTGCTCCTGCTTGATCACAAACCTCGCTGGAGTGCCCTGCCCGGTCATATTTGTCCCCAGGCTGAATCCTGTCTTCAGTCTTTTCCCTGTAGAACATTCATCTGACATGATAAAAAAAAAAACACAACAGCAGAACAAATGGTCACAAACTACATATAAATCCTGCTCGGGTCCATCACAACTTCAATTACTGAAAAATCCATAATTCACCGGTTAATTGACCAATGCTTTCTCTACCTAAATGTAGTGTAAAGTACGCATTATATATATGCATCAAAATAACCAAATCAACTGTAAATGTCAAACCAGTAACGAAAATATGATTCTTGTGTAGAAGTTCACAAATGACTTCACTTGTATGGGCCTATGGCTTTTTGGGGTCATGCATGGACAAAAGTTCTTAATGATGTACAGAAAATTGCCACTATACCGGTCCTGGTAACATCCGTCCATGTAGCAGGAGAGCTGATGTTCAGAGGGTGAGTAGTGACCGTCCCATCTGCCTGAATGGACAGCTGGCCAACCTTCACCTCATCCCCGGAGTCCAAGCCCGGGAAAGCTTCGCCCAGTGATCTGCTTATCTCCGCGTCGCAGCCCGGCAGGCAGCGGATGCTGGAATCGTCCTGGATCCGATGGCCGAGAAGCTGAGCGGCGCTCCTGTCGGCGGGGGCGCCGGGTAGGCAGGCGTGGTGCAGGGCAGCGGCCGGACCCTGACCAGGCAGTGGAATTGGAAGCTGCTCGATGATCTTCTGCGCGCTGCTGAGGCACTCCTGCAGGGCTTTCAGCTCGCCTTCGGACACCTCCAAGCGCAGCTTCAGCCTCTCGTTCTCCTGCTCCCTGGTGGCTAGTTCCTGTTGGGTCTCGGTCAGGGCGTCATTCAGCACCAAAGCCACCTCGCTCAGCAGCGTGTCCACCGCGGCGGCCAGCGTGCTTTGGATGGTCGGCCCGAGGCGGACTCTCAGGGAGGACATGGAGAGGCTGGTCTCGCAGAACAGGGGCTGATGGCATTCCACCTTCTCCCCCTTCAACTCAAAGCTCAGACCGTCGTCGGTGCGGTTCGGGGAGCCGATCGCGCTCCGTTTCCGACCGCCACCACCAAAAGCTGAGTTCATACAATGTTGTACATTTATTTTTGCCAGTCCGGCAACGCTACAGTTTGCTAGCTTAGAACTCATCGTAGTGATAAATCCGCCGAGCGGCTACTTATAACAGGCGATCTGTGACCTGTTAGTGAGCTGTTACAATGCAACAGATAATATTGCGCCTGCTGTGCCCGATAGCGATCGCGCTCTCATGCATTCTGTATTTCAAACCACCCGGACAGCTAGCTAGCTAGCTAGCTCTTTCCAAAGCTATAAGCGCGGCTGCTTATCTGCAGGTTTTTTAATATTCTTTAGTTTCCGTATATAATGGATTACCGACTGAAACCGGAGCGCTATCTGTAAAAAGCCAAAACAAGTGGGGTCTAACAAAGAAATATCACGTATGTTGCGGCAAACTGCCTTCCCCGTTCATCTTCCGTATATAAACACTCGGCAAGGAGACGGTCGGCACTCGTGATTGGCATTACTGCAGTCGCATATTTATGACGTTTGCTGTTTCATTTAAAGAAACAGGAAGTTAAATTTGAAGAGGCAGAAGGAATGATGAATGCACTCAGACACGATTATTATTATGTAGAGCATCGCGAAATTTACGCACGGTATATAGTTAATATTATATATTATCATCATCGTAAGGTTCTATATTTACTCTAGTATTTCGTCATATAAACATTCTGAGTTGAGACTACTGAACTCCAGGTCTAGGTTTACAAATGAAAACTTTAAAATGTCTATACATACATTATATGGACAAATGTATTGGGATATACCTCTGAATCATTGAATTCTGGTGTTTCATTCAGACCCATTACCACAGGTGTAAACATGATAGACTGAGCCTTGCAGTCAGGTTTACAAACATATATGAAAGAATGGGTCGTTCTGAAGAGCTCAGGGATTTCATGCATGGTACTGTCATGGGATGCTACCTTTGCAATAATTCAGCTTGAGAAATTTCTTCCCTTCTAGATTTTCCATGGTCAACACGTACAGTATTATTGCAAAGTGGAAGTGTTCCGGAACAGAAACTCAGGCACAAAGTGTCAGACCACGTAGAGTAACAGAGTGTGGTCACTGAGTGCTGAGGCACATATTGTGTAAAAGTCACTAGTTCTCTGTTGACTCAATAACTGCACAGTTCCAAACTTCCTCTGGCATTAACCCCAACACCGGGAGCTTCATGGAATGGGCTTCCATGGCCGAGTACCTGCATGCAAGCCTCACAATGCTAAGTATGGGATGGAGTGGGTAAAGCACGCTGCCAATGGAAACGTGTTCTGTGGATTGACAAGTTACACTTCTGATAGACAAGTCTGCATTTCGCAGATACCAGGAGAACGTTACCTGTCTGACTGCATTGTGCCAGGTGTAAAGTTTGGTGGAGGAGGGATAGTGGTGTGGGGTTGTTCTTCTGGGGTTTACATTTACAGCATTTAGCAGACACTCTTATCCAGAGCAACTTCCATTTTATTTCGATTCAGGGACAGTCCCCCTGGAGAAAGTTGGGCTTAAGGGTCTTGCTCAGGGACACAATGATGGTAGTATGGTCCAGAGGCAAGCAGCCTAACCACTAGACCACCAACACCTCTCAGCTGGGTTGTGCTAAGCCCCTCAGTTCCATTAAAGGGAACTCTTAATGCTTCAGCATAACAAGACATTTTGGACAATTCTATGCTTCCAACTTTGTGGGGACAGTTTGGGGAAGGTCCTTTACTGTTCCAGCATGACTGTGCCCAGGTACACAAAGCAAGGTCCATGAAGACATGGTTTGGTGAGTCTGGTGTGAAAGAACTTGACTGGCCCACACAGAGCCCTGACCTCAACCCCGTCGAACACCATTGGGATGAACTAGAATGGAGATTGTGAGCCAGGCCTTCACGTCCAACGTCTGTGCCTGACCTTACAAATGCTCTTCTGGATGAGTGGGCAAAAATTCCCACAGACACACTCCAGAATCTTGTGGAAAACCTCCCCAGAAGAGTGGCAGCTGTTATAGCTGCAAAGGCGGGACCAACTCCATATGGATGCCTATGGATTTAGAATGGGATGTCATACAAGTTCCTATAGGTGCAATGGCCAGGTGTCCCAATACTTTCGTCAATATTGTGTATTACCGTCATTGTATTATTACTGTAAAATAATAAAAATGGATGAATTAAAGGAAAATTGAAATCAATCTAATTTCAAGAAATATAAAAAGTTACTGTAGTGTTTCTATGTGTTTTTCATATAATTTTTTTGCTTTGGGCGCTTTTTTCTAAAGTTGTTGACTTGATTGTGTTCCACTCCCCCAGGACGCCTGAAAAGCATCGCAGGTCTCGGGACAGTTGCTTAGTAAATGCCTTGTGTGTGCGGCGGAAGTTGGTTTCGTGCGATTGGCATCGCATTTAACCAATCACCAGTCCCGCTACCTTATGGTTTTTTCTATTTAGCCAATGAAATTAAGGGGGCTGGTTCTGCTTCGTCGGCTGTAGCGGAGCGGTTTTAAGACTGCAGGGGGAAAACAAGGGAGCGAGCAACTTGGTTAGTTGCAGGTAGGCGTATTAAATATTAAAAATACTGTTTTGCTTAAAAATAAAATATCCGTTTTGTATCATGAAAGGGAGCACATCAGACATTACGGAGATGACTGTCTAGCAGATGCACAGAACTAGCTATACAGTTTGTGATGCGTTGCTTTTGGTAAAGTTGATGCAATTTGACACACGCTGCGTTTCGCTTCTTCTGCTGTTATTGTTTAACATTGTCTCGTGCTGCTTATATTTTTGGTATATTATTTGAAATGTTTGCTCTAATTCTGCGTTTATGAAGGCAAGTAGCCGCAGTCTCCTAGCCCGTAGCCCCAACTTCGAGAAGTCCCAAAAACAGCAGCGAACTAATTTATCGCAGGTCTTACTTATTCAGGCAAACCTGGCGTCTTGTTGCTATGGCTGAAGACACAGATTTGACACTCATTTGCATATGAATAGTTTGAATGAAAAGCTTGGCATCTGTTTAAAAATTAATAGCAATAAATAATAAAACAGAAAATAACTCTAAAAGAAAATGCGAGTGCACAATTACGCTGTATACATAGCATTTAAGCGTGCTGTCTTGTTTACGCGTATATTTGGTAAATAAGTTTAGTTTGTAACTGAATTGCAATAACGGATTTCCATTTTGAACCTTTTTATTCCGTTCAGGCAATGTCAACTCTTTTTCATCTTTACCCTGTCTTACATGAGGACTGTCTTAAAATGATTACATACGATGACAAGCATTTTCATTTTTTACATTTTATTCCTGTATGTTTTAGTACAGGGAGGGGCAGCAGTAGTGACTATCAATTCCAGAATGTGATGTTTTGATGTTAATAGCGTAGTGCTGTTTATTTACGACACGAAGCTACGGTTGACTCCTAGACAATTTTTCATGGGGGTAATGTTCAGGGTAAGGGGTTGAGCATTTAGTCTGTTGTGGGAGAAGTAAAAGTATACAGCGTCTTAATGTATTATATTACTGGGAGATTTTGATTCTGGTGCGTAGTGTGTAAAGTTACACCTTGGGAAGGGGGAGGGCAGCGTGGTTTCATCGCACTCAGACAGGTTGACTGAACCCTAAGCAATAAGTACTTTGGCCGTGGTATTATCAGTGCCCTTCTCTGTGTGAGATCGCAGCCGATTGGCTGGTGCTGTCAGAGGGGAGCGTTCCTGATTGGACGGGATCACACCAGACATTCCCAATGGAATAGCACCATGCCGCTGCCTGGATGGTACAGCCAGGGACTATTACAATGCAAGGGAGAACGGATCATAATAAAGATGCAAACAAGTTTATTATTCTTTTTCATTTGTTCTGATTGATTGGCTGTCCTTCCTTATCAGGATGCAGTTCGTTAATGTTCCCATTGGTAGGGGTCATACAGATACAGATAGCACCTCAAAGTGATTACTGTCAATTAAGTCATCCTCTTATTACTGAAGCTGTAATCTTCTTATACCAGTCCTCTAATGCTTGGGAACCTTGTTACGTTCCCTTTTTGCACTACAGTTGAACTACTCTGCCATCTCACTAAGGGTTCATAGCAGCCAAGTGTAGCTGTGGCGGACTGTAATCTTAATGAGCAGTGTGGAAGGAGGGAAAGTGACGTAACTTTGTTATTCATTAATGAACTCATGATGCAATTGTGATGATGCAGCTCCTGTCTCTCAACAAGTAGTGCATTCCAATAAAAACATGAAAGTTGTGGGTTCAAATCCCAGGGAGCGCACATGAATTATAACGCTTTCCTCTACTGAAAGTTCCTATGGATAAAAGTATCAGATTAATGTGAAAAATGTTAATTAGATATATAGATAGATCCTGAAGGAAACTGCAAGTTTACGGTAACTAAATTCACATGTTGTATTCAGTAAAAAACTGTATACAGTTACAAAACACATTTAGATATTAATAGAGAGTAACAGTTAATAATAGACAACAATAAATAGTGTGAGGAATGTTATGGAAATTATTGTACAGAATTCCATCATAACGGTTCAGAAATAAATAGTATTGCGCAGTGGGAATATATGTATATCTTAAGGATAATTGTTGTTGATGGATTTACTAACTTTGAGGGACACGAGCTGATGAAATATTTAGGGGAGCTTATGCAAGGATCCTGGAAAACGCCGACATTGCTATGTTGAGCACATAGTCTGCCCTACTTGCGAAAAGATTTGTGGAGAAGAGAGGAGGGTGTCAGAATGAGGGCGAGGTCGGCTTAAGGGGTAAAATCTCGGGTTCGAGGCGGACGTGACGCAAATGTGCTGTCGTGTGGAATTCCAAAGTATTGCATAATGCTAAGTAGAGTCAGGAAGTCAAAGTGTCTTTTTAAGGTCACGGTGACCATTGGAAGTGTACGGAAATAGCCTATGTGCCATTAGCACATGTGCTTAAGCAAAGAATGACCTGACTCAGCAAGTATTAGTTGCTGAGGGAAAATGGTGATGGAATATAGGTGAAATCATTCTTTGACCAATTAGAGTAAAATGTATGGATGTGCCGTTTTTTTTTTTTTTTACTCAAATATAACCTGTAATCATTAGTGAAGGAGATGAGCTACTCTGAGATAAATCTTGTGTCGGTGATTTGCCGAAATGGATTTTTACCCTACCATACCAGAGAATGACAAAAGTCAGGTAAATGCCCAGCTGGCGGCCGGTGTGAGGCTCAGAATCAGAAGGTTGTTGGTTCAAATCCTGACCTTGACAGCATAGCTGTATCACCGTTGGACCCTTGAGCAAGGCCCTTAACAACATTTATTATCATTATTATTATCATTATTATTATTATTATAGATTGCATAAATAGTTTCATTACAGTAATAGGCAACATTAATTTATTTATTTCTCATTCCGTGATACATGCTGATTTATGTAGAAAGTTGCTACGAGGCAATTACCTAATTGCCAAACATGCTTTCATTTAC